ACCCCCCATACTCCCCCCATCCCCAAAAGTTTCTCAGCGGATTTGGGCTGTACTCAGCAAGCGCATTACAGCCCCCAACTCAGATTTGAAAAAAAATCAGTGGATGGCTGTTTTCTGACTGGTCGGCAGACCGCCAACCGGTCGGCCCTACTGGTCGGCTGCAAAACGGTCAGCGGTCGGGGTCAGCGGTTGGCAGGTGTGCAACCCTGGTATATGCGTATATGTGCAAGTGTGCTGCTTCGGCGGCAGACTGGTGTGTGGGCACTTGGCGCTGAACCACACAAACGTGGCCAACCTTGCATTTTCTATTATATAGTCTATTAGTCTATCTATACTGTTTCGTTATGGATGGTTTGTTATGATTTGTGGAGGAAAGGAGAGAGAGAATTTGGGGTGCCTTGACAACACACACACACGAACCGGTTCTGTCCGGTCTGTAGGGATGGCCTCTTACCATGGGCAACGGCTGCTCCTCAACTCAAACTCTTCTGCAACCCAAACACTGAGTGGCCTCTTGTGCCATTCCAGAAGATTCTTCTCTAGTGGTGAGTGTTTAGAACCCTGTCAAGTTCGTCATATCTTTGTCCCGTCCTTTGCCACTCCACTTCCTCCCTACCTTTTTTTCCCCCTTACCCGTTTCCCCTCCTCCCTTGCTCCTTACTCCCCATAGAACTCCGCGTCCTATCCCTTTCCTTCCTTCCCATGTGTGCTACTAACAAATGCACACGAATGAGCATCACTAAGAGAACAGTCCAAATATAAGCTGAGGATATAAATTAAAAATGAACTCGAGTATGCCTCCCTCTTTACTCTGCATCCTTTCATAATGTGCAAGTGTGCCGTTAAGGCACACGAGGATGTGGGCATAATCAACGTGGCCAGCCTTGTACATGAGAGGCATAGTAAAAGGGGAGCTGCAAGAATAAAAGAAAGTCGAAGTAACTACAGTTAAGAAAGGTAAATAATGGATCTAGTGTGCTCTGTGTTGCTTGCATAGAGGTAAAACTGTTTCATTGTTGGATTGTTTCAACTGAAGTGTTTTTGTTGTCTGCAATTGGACTAAAGCTGCTTCGATTCTAGATCTACTTTTGATCCATAAGAGGGTGGAGGCCAAGAAGCAACTTACCTAAGCCACTAGCAAGAAAGCACCGACCCCATCCGCCATAGGTCCGAAAAAACTGTGTGTGTGCGTGTGCATGTGTGTGGGTGGGTGGGTGCGTGTATGTGTGTGTGTGTGAGTGTGCATGTGCGTGTGTGTGAGAGTCCACGTCAGCCGTGTGCGTATGTGTGTGTGTGTGTGTGTGTGTGTGTGTGTGGGTGGGTGGGTGCGTACGTGTGTTCGTGTGTGCGTGTGTGTGTTCGGGCAGAATAAGCTAATAGTTTTTCTGTTTGCCTGTTTAAGTCCCCTGTTCTGTTGTTGAGGTTTCCCCCTTCTCTCCTTCCCCCTTACTTCTGCATACTGGCTGGCGTAGGGACTGTCTATGCTGTTTGTTAGTACGAAGTTACAAACCTGAAGCTTGACGATTTTCTTTCGTTTTGCTAGAAACTCGCGTCGCCCCTTCCAGCCCTTGTATGCCTTCTGAATCTTTGTGGCCGCTTGTGACCGTTTGTTATACTGCGACACTTGGTACCCTCTGTATGCCCTCTGGATTACCCGGGCGGCAAACATGGTCCTCAGTTTCTGTGCCCTCTCCTGCTGTTTAGCCAACTTCTGCGAATAATACTTGCGATAATTGGCCTGAATAAGAGCGGCCGCCTCGCCCGCTCTCCGAATAGCCTCTCTGGACTCCAATAAGTTTGGGTCATCGAAATGCACACTCATCATATTGAAACCTTGGAGTGGGATGATGGTATTAACAGCTCTGGAGACAGCATCGTGGCCTGCAGCTTGCGCCTGCATTCGGGTCATGAAGTCCACCTCCACTGGCGCCTTCTTCGCCATAGCCTCCTGCGTCTTCTCAAGGAGTCTCAGTGAGAGAAGTCCTGATATCCCTTGGTGCCCAGCCATTTCCGCGATCTCTGCCGCTGTCCAGCCATCCTCATGCTCAGAGCTTGCTCTCAAAAGCAGTCCCGGAGTTGCCCCTGCTGCAAGGAGTGTGGCTACTGTCGTCTCCCTGATTCATCAATCGCACAAAACAGAAAATACCCCAAACAACTTTAAAAAGAAAACAGAAAAAAGTGCACATCAGAAATTGCAAACAAAAGCAACAAAATGACACAAAGGAAGACAAAATAAAACTTGACTGAATGCTACCACAGAATCAGCACCTGCCCGGTGGCTGAACTGCATACCCTACTACACACAGGCACGCCCAGGTACACCCTACTACACACTGAAAAATGTTATGATAGAGTTACTTATTTTTTCATTTTGCTTCGGGAAAACATCATGTGTCAGTAGATTCCAGTTCTATTGAAGCAAAAATGAAGTGGAGAGAGAGCTTTACCATAACCATTTTTTCAGTACAGAAGCATGACCAGGAACTTCCACCACATAGTCTGTACTGAAGCATGAAAACATGACCAGGGACTTCCACCATATGACTGAACAGCTATGCTGCTGACGGTTTGCATGAATCCACAGCATCGGTACTTCTAGCACCTATGGCCCTCCTGTCCCCAAGCGGGCTGGGTGGGACCATCTTCGAACTGAGCTTGTGGACGGACAACAACAAAACAGCCAACAGTCTCTAAGTAGTACCATCTTGGGACTGACTGACCCCCAAATCCACTCGATACCCCATCTTCTCTCAAACATAATGTGCACTAATGGGCCCAGTGGTTCTCTCAAAGATGCACCTTCTGAGTGATGGATGGGGGGAAGGGAATCATGTCCAGGAAAAGACGGCAACCGTAATAGTTGTGATGGAGGTCCCCAGTGGTAATCCACACAGTTGTCCATGGCTCCCCTGATACACACACACACATACACACACAGAGGCACCTCCCTTCTCTTTTCCACCCTCTCCTTAGCCTTCCTACACGATCACTCAATCACTCGCTTCCTTTTTCAAATGTTTATTATTGCCTTCTGTCAGGACCTCAATGTTAAGCACAAACTCCAGTGTTGGTTTTGAAGTTTGAACTCTGATGTTTGAATACCTTCCAAAAGCTGAGGCCCAATGCAGAGGTGTGCGGCCTCGGATATCGCATGCATCCATACTCGCCCGTGCAGCTCTCATGATAGACACTGCCCAATCGAACCCCAGAGCAGCTGCAAAGTGAGCAACACCCATTCCTGTCTCATCGAGAAGCAGATTGAAGCCGCTCATGGGGCAACCACCTCCACCTCCCGTCTCTGATGCCTGACGGCGTTGTTTGTAAAGCCATTCCGATAGCCTCCTTCTCAGCAACATCTGCAGCAATTGCTCCTGCACGTACGCTGTCGTTAACTCTTCCCGATGAAGCCACTCCCACTCGCCAAGAGGGCCTTGATTACGATCTAACCCGGTCCTCACAGCCTGATTGGCGAGGTCGCTTTCCGTCTCATCGGACAGCACTACTTTGACCAGCCTTACAAGTAATCCCATGTCCTCAATGGGCATCCCCCGGTTCTTGTACTCGAACACCTTGACATTGCTGCACACATTGCCATCGCCACAAGTTATCGAGAACAAAACCTTTTCTGCCTTTTCACGCACTGGTGGCTTACATCTCAGAACACCCTCTTGCAAAACCTCAGCCTCAACCTCTTCGTCGCCGAACTTACAGAACCATGACTTCACTGAGGAGTCCTGAACGCGTCCGGCAACCAGCACCTGAAAGGAAGCCATCACCAAGAACCTTAGCCCTGTTCCCACTTCTTTCATTCATCAAGACCAAAGTTTAGAAGTAACTCAGTGGCGTACCATATGGAGGTAGTGTGATGACTACTATGCAACAAGAAGACAAAAGACGGCAGGGGGAATAGAGCTTGATAGAAGAAGAAGAAGAAGAAGAAGAAGAAGAAGAAGAAGAAGAAGAAGAAGAAGAAGAGAATGCAGATGAAGGCTAGAGTGCACTGCCAACTTGCCAAGAACCTTAGCCAGCTTCCCACATATTTCATTCAGCTGACAGAAGTTTCACCCAGCAGCACACTCTTCGCCACAGATGCAGCATGCTAAGCCCACGGTGCAGGGCTGGGCCTCGAGTCCTCAGGGAACTCTGCAGGACCTTACTGCTCAAAGCATGCTCCCCCCTAACCCCCCCATGGGAATATCACCCACATAACAAACTTTCTAAGCCTCCTCCCTCACTGCCAATCCAAGGCACCCATCTTCTCCAACCAAACCAAAGATTTTCATTACCTCACACAGTCACACTCGCAATTGGCAAAACTGCCAACACAATCCTTCTACACAACAGAAGCCCAGGTCTCTAACCGGACTAAAGCATGTATTTGGAACCAAGTTTCACATGATGTGCCAATCAATTATTAGCTTAATTACTAAGTACCCGTCGGGGAAATAATGAATCACCATGAGAAGAGCACTGACCACGATTGAGCATGAATGCACAGTTGACAATCACATTGCATGAAGGATTTATTTGATTTATCTATTGCTTTCCCCCCCCCCTTCCTTCTATTTTTCTTTCCTCTATCCTCCTCCTTTTTCTTAAGAAAAGAAAGGCCGACGGCCTTGGGATATCTTCATTAATCGAACCGCCCCAGGTGTGAGGAATGTGTCCTCAGGGGGCCCTCGACAACATGCATATGTTCTGGACTGTGGCCCCCAACAAGCCTCGTGCCCGCCCTAAGTGAAGGCGGGCCTGAATATCCATGAGAGGCCCTTATCACAGCATTTCCCAATGTGGGTTTCAGACAGTTCCTGCATGCCAGTTGGTTGAAGTGCAACCTGGGCCTCACCCTGGGCTCTTCCAGAAGAAGCAGCTGCGTCAGGCAGTTGAGCCCAGGGCGCAGGAAGTTGCGCCCTGGGCACACGCAGGGTGAGACGGATACATCAAGAAGTGGCCCCGGGCCAATGAGAATGCAGCATTGTCATCACACCTACCTTACGGGCCAGTGCAAACACAGCAAACATTTGGAGCCTGGATAATCCTGGGTGTGCCCAACTGCAAGGGCCCAGGCCCTCAACGATAGACATGGGCCTCTGACTCTTAATAGGGAGGAGGCCAGCCAGTGTTGGGCATTCTGGCATAGGCAGGCAATGCGGACATGCTGCTGTGATTCAGCGCAAGTGTCTGCATTGCGCTAGCACTGGCTGGGGCGAGCACAGGCGCTGAGTGGTGTGGGGCGCTGCAGGGCAGCGGGGCGTTAGCGGCCATAGCCGGGCTACAGGGTGCGAGGGGGTGATGGGCGATGGTGGTCTTCAGGAAGGAGGCTGCCAGCCAGTGTTGGGCATTCTGGCCTAGGCAGGCAATGCAGACATGCTGCTTCGATTCAGCACAAGTGTCTGCATTGCGCTAGCACTGGCTGGGGCACGCGCGGGCGCATGGTGGTGTGGGGCGCTGCAGGGCAGCGGGGCGCTAGCGGCCATAGCCGGGCTGCAGGGCGCGAGGGGTTGATGGGCGACGGTGGTCCTCAGGAAGGAGGCGCAGGTGCGGGTGGACAAGGGATGTTGAGGGGAGTCGAGAGTACGTACCTGGTGTACGTGGGAGGTCGACATTGGTGTTGACGTCATGTACATTGGTCTTCGAAGTCGAAGTGAGCCTGTCGCATGAATGCAGATAGTCTACGTAGGACGGGTAGAGTAGGCTGGGCGCTGGACGCCAGACAGTAGGAGTGTCATTGAATACTGCGTTGGTGTGACCTGAGGGCTTGGACATTGGTCCACGAGTTCATTGTACGGCTCTTATTTGAATGGCATCTTGGTGCATTTGAGCTCTCTGCTTGTTACATGACTATCTCGACTTCTGCGTGATTTTGCAACTTGGTTTTCTGTATATCGCTCTCGCTCATATTCCTTGCAATTTGATATCGGAGCTGGTTCGAGATGGCCATCACCTGGCTCTGGCGACATTGTTACTTGGTGCGCTGACGATGCTTCTGCGCAGTAAGGATACATTGGCGCTGGCTTGATTATCTGACACCTGGGTAGAGGGGTGCGTCGCTGGAAGGCTGTGGCGACAGCGTGGGAACTGTGTCGACAGCAGACGTATGTGTGATGATGAGAGCATACTGATGTGGCATTTTGGCTGAGGTGATACTGCATTGCCTTGTGGGTGGTACCGGAGCTATGACTGGTCATCTAAATGCACATTGGCTCAATTGGTGAGAGATCTGTGGTTGTGGGCAGCTATCTCCAGGTACGCTGTTCCCTTACCTTATCTTCCCTCTCAATCTCTTCTTACCGTGAGGAAGTGAGTCCAACCGTGAGTGTCCTCTCTTCAGTAAGGAGTCGTGAGCGCTCTACCTTGAAAGAAGACATTCTTCAAGGTGGTGCATCTGGCAAGAGAGGGCGGCGCCTCTGAAGGGCCCTGTTCGAAGCACGGGTCACGGTCACCATGCCAACGCATGGGAGTAGTACACGCATGCCATGGTGCTTTGTCCTTTAAGGCTCTTTGCTGCGCTAATAGAGGGATCGTGGACTGACCAGTCCTATGCAGATGCTTACCAGAACGTCTATAAACATTTCTGGCGGGGATCTGAACTGTACACTGGCTGTGATCGTCGTCCTGTCGTCTTGTCTACGGCGTTAAATAATTCATGAGGACCTTGGCAGCTGTCCTTAAACTGCCTCTTGATCAGCCAGATCAGTCAGATATAAGGCTCGTTGCACGCAAGGATAAAAAATGGGCAGTACTGGTCATAAGCGAATTCCTGGGCACAGGGGTGGGCCGTTAATGCACACCTTAAACACCGCTGCTTGATGATGCGGACAGGTACGTTGGATACAGGGGCAGGAATGTACCAATTGATGCTCAACTGTATATCACAACCATATCCATTGTGCATACATCTACTCGCCTGATTTAATTTTATTTTTGATTAGTTGGTGGACAGACTGCTAACACCTAACAAACAACTTAGATTAGTACTGAAGTGCTCTACCATAGCCAGTTCTTATCGAAGCTTGCTGTGAGTGAAACTTGTCAAGGTAGGATTGGATCATGTGTACAGTTTGTGTAGATGTTGATACCGCTTGAACACTAGCCTAGGTAACTTGCCGAATATTATTCTATTTTTACTTATTTATCAACCCGGTCAGACACACGCTGTGGTAGGCCCCAGTGAGGGCAGTAGTGCAGATAGTGTCTGCCTAGCTGATGAGTGGACCAGGCAGTGGGCAGAATAGATCCGTAGGAAGGAGGGTGACACGTCAGGAGTCCCTTAGGACTCCAATCGCGCACCAAGCTTTACCACCTGAGGGAGAAAGGGCTTTATGATAAGAAGCAGTAGCTGAACGTTTGCAGAGGGCTAGAGAAGTGGCAGCAGCAGCCGAGCAAGTGCTTGCAACGGCAACAGTCACTGCAGCAGCTATGGCTACTTCTGCTACATCCAGCCAGCAGAGCATAGGCATGCCGACCAGTTCGCAGGCCACATCCTGCACAGTGGGATCAAGCAGTTCTTTTAGTCAGATGGCAGGCTCGCAGTACAGCTCGCCACCTCCACACACTAGAGAGGCCATTGAACTCCAACAAGTGGAGTTGATCCGCTTACGGTTAGAGAAGGAACTTGGAGAAGCTACTGAAAGAGAAACGAAGATTAGAACTAGGAAAGTTAGACTAGAGAATAGGAGGACAGCCAAAGCTGTTGTAGAAGGGTTAGACGACGCTGTCATTGATGATAACACGAGAATCCTCAAGGCAGGTATCCTGTCCATGCATGCATACATGGACAGCAAACTGGACGCTATCCAGGATACCCTTGACCAAATACTGAGCACCATGCAGGGGATGGGAAGGGCTTTTCCATCTCCAACAGGTGGGCCCAGCTTCCGGCCTCCAATTTTCCCATCATCAGTTTCTCGCCGGTGATGACAGGTCCTACTATGTCCCAGCTTAGCAGTTAACCAAGTGGGTCAGCAGCAGCAGCACAGACTTGTTGCTTCTTCATCTTCTGGTACAGCGGCTGATGCGACACAACATCCGGTCCCACCAGTGGGACAACAACAGCCTTGGTACCCCAAGACTCCTCTAAAACCACTCTCAACCTTCTCAGGTGATAAGAAGGATGAGGCTCTCGACACTTGGTTGAGAATGGTGTCCGTGTGGGTAAGGGCAAAGAGGACACTGTTGAGCAAGAGGCGATCACTGCCACCTCATATCTTGAGGGATCGGCAGCGCGATGGCTAGATGGATTAGTAGCCTGGAAAGGGTTTGGCAGGCGGATGAACGATTGCCCTAAGACCCACACTTTAGAGAGCTTTATGGAGTTGGTGGAAACACAATGGCACAACCCTTAGCAGGCTCAGCAGGCCATTGACGCGTTGACCCGGCTTGATACTAAGAACTACAAGTCCGCGCGTGAGCTCACCTCCATCGCGGAGTCTCATTGTCATCCCCGACATGCGCTTTGATCCACAGGTCTTGATGACCATGTATATGTCAAGAACTTGCTGGTCAGCGAGGCCAGCATCGAATATCACACTCTGGACTCCTTCAACAAGAAGGCTCTAGAGGCTAGGCTAGGAGAAGCCCAACAACCCTCTACAGACTCAAGAAAGAAGAAGAGTCCACAAGAGTGGGAGAAGAAAGGTAGTCGATTGATGATGGTTGATTCTGAAGGGAATCAAACCAAGTTTGATGATTATTCTGACTTAGTGGACGTAACAGAGTTTGAGGACGAGGATAGTGCTGAGGGTAGCAACCTCGCCTC